AGAAAATTGATTTTACTCACAACTTATTCATCCAAATATGTTGGTAAGAAATTATAATTATTTTTTGAATAATAATACATAAATATAACATAATTTTTATATATAATGATATATCTTTTTATGATTCTTGTATTTCCAATCAAAATATTTATTATTATACTTATAATTTCACAAACCTCTTTAACATATCATTTTAGATATTACACTAACTTCCAGTCAATAAATCATTTTTCTTAGTAGTTTTTTTTTTTTTTGGTGCCAAATACACTAACAGTCCTTATAGTTTGAGACTCGTATCACTTTGATCATTGACTTTTTAATTATGACACATTTGACCTTATATTTTAAATCTTGTTTCAAATAATGACAATTGAAGATACATTTACTCAATTTCAAGAGAAAATTCGTCAATTTAATAAAATATAAACTAATTTGACAAAAATAAACGTCAAAAAAAATATTTTTGAATTTTTAAAAATTATTTCTACTGAGAGGGCAATTTATGTGGAAATTAGGCCGAGCTAAGACCATCTGTTGAATGTACCGAGTTAGGTATACACTCTTGGTCACTGGGCCGTGCTGTGATAAGGATGGACCGCGTTATAAGGACAAAAGAATAAAGTCGTAATACAGATTTGGGCCAAAGTAATTATCTTGATAGCACGGTCCTAGACCTTCCGCGTCTAACCGGTCAGTGGAGATTGAACCGAGGTAATGGATAGCTCGGCAGAGTGTCATTTCAAAGTCCAAGCTAACTGAATTAATTTAATTAGTACTGAGCTGTGTAAGCATGGTTAAGTCTTGTGCCAACCGAGGTAAGAGATTGTAACTATCTCACTTAAGAAAACAGTGAGTAAGGAGTTATCAGGATATGTATTATCTTTGAGAGTGTGATTCCTAGGAGGACTCTTGTGAGGAGAGTTGGAGTCTTACTAGGATTGTGCCAGGCAGAATCTACAAAAACTCATGACAGGACCTATGTACAGGTATTACAATTTTTACTCGAGAATACACAGAACTTTTATGTCTATTGTCTATTTGCTGATTTAGGCATCAGAGAGGTTTTCGGCACACACCTACCGGCTAGCTCACGTTTATGTTTTCAGGTACCAAAGCGATGACGTTTGAAGGAATGCAAACTTGATCAACAGGATTATACGAGAAGAATATTTCGTGCCCGTACAATTGGCAGCGTTGCTAGGGAAGCAATCACAAAGAACAGACCTCTTGGTTAAGTTTTTCTTTCAACTAACTTCAATGGCACACAATGAAGACTTACCACACTCCACTATTGATGGGCAAACCCCGAAGGGGGGCAGGAGGCGTGAAGGCTTACCTTTTATCCCATCCATAACAGAGTTAGATCCCTAACGACGGAACCCATGGAGGGATACATGTGAAAGACGGGGCTCAGTCCTCGTCGCTCCCGAAGCCCTGAGAGGCAAAGGCGGAGGTTGGATCCTCAAGTTCTGGAAGATCGCGTGAAGGTGTAAGACAAATTGATACGGAAGATGGCGATGGACATGAAGACAATGAAGCGTCAGATAAAAGGCAAAGGGGTGGCAATAGAAGAGGGGCGCAAAAGCAACACACGCTCTTACCACTTAGAAGATCGTGACAGACAGGTCATACCATCACAAGCTGAAAGTAGAAGCCTCAGGTTGGGGGATACACAATCAAGGACTTCCAGGACGCGTTACTCCAGGTCTAAGAGAACGAGGACTGAAAGGTCTTACACGGATGGAAGTAGTAATCGGCCCTCACATTCGTACCAAATGACATCTAGGCACACAGAGTTGCCTAGGTTGGCGGACCTACGGACAGTCCTAGAGGAGAGGGCCCAAAGGAGGGAAGACACTCAGGCTCGCGACCCTCGCAAAGTCTCCGTGCTACAACGGTTGGCTCTTAGAATGCATGGGAGTGTCCAAGTAGGAATGACAGAGCCAACCAGCAGACAAAGTCTTAGCAAGGTTGCAGAGCTCGCCGTTCATTCCGATGATAGAGAACGCACCATTACCCTTCGGTTTCCACCACCCCAAATTCACCACTTATGAGGGGAAGTCAGACCCCTACATGCACTTTCACCAAGTTATGGCCGTGTATCGGCGAAACGAGGCTATAATGTGTATCATGTTTCCTTCTAGCCTTGGTGACCTGGGTTTAACATGGTTTGAGAGGTTGCCAGAAGGTAGCATAGCTTCATGGGCACAACTAGCAGAGGCATTTGTGACCAGATTCAGAACGAACACCAAGACGCCTGTGGAGATTAACCAGCTTCTCTCTATAGACATGGGCGAGAAGGAAACATTGAGGTCTTACAATAACCGGTATTGGGAGACTTTTAATCAGATTGGGGATTGCCCCACAAACCTAACTATCGCACAGCACAAACGAGGTTTGCCGGCTGGCAACAAATTGAGAGATTTAGTGACGATGAATCCACCCCTCACAATGGAGGCCCTATTGGAAAGAAAGAGTGCATCAGCACATCCGAGTAGAAGAAGATGTCGCACACACCAAAGCAAAAGCTGGCACAACAGCGATGTCAGACAAAAAACCTGCGGCAAAGGTAAACACGGTCAGGCAAGAAGAACAACCGAGCAAGAATAGGCGAGGTAGACGAGCCAACAGAGAGGACCCCCAAGCAAGAAAGTTGAGAGTCCGCACTGCCATCACCGTGGTATTCAACAAACCTATCTACCAGATTCTTAGCGAGATACTCGACGAACGCTTTGTTTGGCGGCCAACCAAGTTGGGAGAAGCACAGAGGGGTTATGATGATAGGTACCGTTGCAACTTCCATGATGAAAAGGGGCACCAAATTGAAAATTGTACACCATTGAGGCAACACCTGGAGGAGTTAGTGGCCGCTGGTCACTTGGAGTAGTATATAGAGGAGAGAAACACAGCTGGCCCCCCAAGACCGCACCAGGTCGAATGGGATGCCGGTTGATGGTCCACCCCAAGGCATAATCAACGTGATACATGGGATCGTCGAACCTGAGTGGGTATGTGAGCTCAAAGGGATGATCAAAAAGGCTGAGCACTTGAGAGTGGTACTAAGTGCACAACCTACCGTCAAAGGGAAAAAACGGAGGCAACGAACATTATCTCATTTTCTGACAAGGACTTAGCAATGTCACAATGCCCTCACAAGGACGCATTGGTGGTTACTTTGCGTGTCAAGAACTTCGACATCAAGTGGATCCTAATTGACCAAGGGAGCTCCTGGAAGATAATGTACTACGAGACCTTCAAGCAACTAAAATTGGAGGATAAAGACTTGGCACCCGTAACATCCCCCTTAGTCGGCTTCAACTCAATGCCAGAATGGCTGGTGGGCAAGATAATTCTGCCGATCAAGGTAGGAATGATGATGAAACAGGTGAAATTTTAGGTATTGAAAGTTCCTTCCACTTACAACATAATCTTGGGAAGAGCATGGTTGCACGCCATGCGATCAATAACATCAACCTACCAACAAGTGTTACGATTTCCCAATGAAACCGGTGTGATTGAAGAAGTCCTAGGAGACCAAATCATGTCGAAATAGTGCTTCGTTACAGTAAATGGCTGCTGGGCTGCAAAAGGGTTTGTACAAATGGTAGAAAAGCCAGAAAGCAACGGGCTGTTCGCAGACGTCGGCAAAACAACCAAACAGAAGGCAGTAGAGGACTTGGTAGAGGTAAGGATAGATGAAAAGAACCCAGAAAAATTCTTTTTGCTCGGCTCGTCTCTGTCCAGCATAGAGAGAATAGAGATCATGGAATTTTTGACCTTTAACATCGAAGTGTTCGCCTGGCCGCTGTATGACATGCCTGGCATTGACAACAATTTCATCTGCCATCAACTCAATGTCCATTAAACTGCCACACCAATTATACATCGAACTCACCGATCGGAACTCCACCACGCAGAGATAGTGGCGGAGGAAGTGGAAAACCTGCTGGAAATAGGGGTAATCAAAGAAGTACACTATCCTAGGTGGATTTCTAACACCGTAGTGGTGCCAAAAAAGAATGGAAAATGGCGCATTTGTGTGGACTACAAAACAGTTAACAAAGCATGTCCAAAAGACAGCTTTTCCCTACCACGAATAGATCAACTGGTGGACCTGACAGCAGGGTATAACCGGCTTAGCTTTCTTGATGCGTATCGTGGTTACCATCAGATCGCTATGTATGAACCGGATCAGGAGGTCACATCGTTTACAACACCAGAAGACTATATTGCTACAAGGTCATGCCCTTTGGCCTAAAAAATGCAGGGGGTACATTCCAACGTATGATCACCAAAATATTTGAACCATTATTAGGCAAAACAATAGAGGCTTACATAGTTTATATGGTGGTCAAAAGCAGAGATTAGGGGGACCATCTCAAGGACTAAGATGAGATGTTTCAAATTTTAAAGTCCCACAAGTTGCGACTGAATGCATCTAAGTACGCATTCGGCGTGGGGTCAGGCAAATTCCTAAGCTTTTTAGTGATCAACCGGGGTATAGAAGCTGACCCCTCTCAGATCAAAGCCATCCAAGATCTTGAGAGGCCCAACACAGTCAAGGAGGTACAGCATCTCACTGGCCTAGCAGCCGCACTAAACCGGTTCATAAGTCGGTCGTCAAACAGGTGTCGACCGTTCTTTTAGGCACTGAAGGCCAAGTTTGAGTGGATGATGGGTGCGACCGTGCCTTGGAAAGTTTGAAAGACTACATGAACTCTCCTCCATTGTTAGTAACCCCAGTACCAGGAGAGGAGCTCTTTTTGTACGTAGCAGTTTCCTAGCATGCAGTTAGCGCAAGGTTGGTAAGAACAGAAGGAATTCAACACTTACCTATCTTTTATGTGAGCAAGACATTGCTGGGTGTGGAAACAAGGTACCTGCCATTGGAAAAATTGGCCTTAGCTTTGATGATGGCGTCAAGAAAGTTGTCGCACTACTTCCATGCCCACGCTGTGGTTGTCTTAACAACCTTCCCCTTAAAAGCCTTGTTTGAGAGGATGGATTTTTCTAGACGAATTTTGAAGTGGGTAGTGGAGTTGGGGCAGTTCGACATTAAGTTTCAACCAATAACCGCAATAAAGGCCCAAGCTTTGGTAGACTTTATGGCCGAGTTCGCACCAGGAAGTCATCATGTTTATCCGATCGACTTGACCGAGGCAATCGAAAGAAGGGGAGAGAGGGAAGAAGAAACAGAACGCAACACTGCCAGCAAGGACTCACCCAAAAGTAAAGTCTCGAGACAGTCAGACAGTGAGGATCAAAGCCCAACGACAGACAATAACCTGGAAGAAGGCATTAGCGACGCCTTTGATCCCAAGACATTATCAGATCCTTCCACTTGCTGGAAGCTATTCCTCAGAAAGATGTGGAAACTCTTCATGGATAGAGCATCCAATAGGCACGGTGCAGGACTCAGCATAGTCCTCGTCTCATCGGATGGCCTAACAATTGAACATGCAGTCAACCTTGGCTTCCCAACATCTAACAACGAGGTAGAGTATGAAGCATTGCTAGCAGGTTTGAAATCAGCACTTCGCATGAAGGCCACCGAGCTGATGGTGTATAGTGACTCCCAGCTGCTAGTCAACCAGATTTGGGACGACTACGAGGCAAAGGATGATAGGATGACTAAGTACCAAGAGTTGGTCAGAAAATAGATTATGAAGTTCGAAGTAATCCGAATAGAGCAAATCGGCCAAGAGGAAAATAGTAAAGCAGATGAGCTGGCCGATTTTGCGTCAATGGCAGATACATCTATCCACACCCATGTTGATTGACTTTCTACCCAGACCAAGTATTGAAGAGTCTGAAAGAGCCGAAGCATGCTGTGCCGAGCCAAGCCCTTCCTAGGCTGAGCCAAGCCCTTCCTAGATGGATCCCATCATAGTATTTTTAAAAGATGACATCTCCTCTAAAGAAAAGAAAGAAACCAATAAAATTAGGGCAAGATCACAGCGATTTTGGCTCTCCCCATCACTAGCATTGTACAAAAAGTTCTTCACAGAACCTTACTTGAAGTGTGTCCATCCCAGTAAGGTTGAGGCATTTTTGTTCAAAATACACAAAGGCATTTGTGGAAGCCACCAAGGGGGACGATCACTGGCCTACCGTGCAATATCACAAGGATATTGGTGGCCATACATGCAAGCCGATTCAGAGAAATATGTCAAGAAATGTGAGAAATGTCAGAAGTTTGCACACCAAATATGTCAACCAGCCAGAGAGCTTTTACTATTGACCAGCTCGTGGCCCTTTGCAATGTGGGGCCTAGACATAGTAGGACCACTCCTAACTGCGCCCGCTAAAAGAAAATTCTTCTTCGCAGCAACAGATTATTTCACAAAGTGGGTGGAGGTAGAAGTACTCGCATCCATAAAAGAAAAAGATGTCAAGAAGTTCATCTGGCAAAACATCATAATTCGGTTCAGAATACCCAAGGCTTTACTATCCGATAATGGCACTCAGTTAAATGGTAAGATTTTCAGGGGTTTTTGTGAAGAATATAAGATAGAATTCTACAACTCCATGCCAGCATACCCCTAAGCCAATGGCCAGACTGAAGCTTCCAACAAAGTAGTTTTATATGGCCTAAAAAAGAGGCTGGAAAGAGCAAAAGGCAAGTAATATCCGATAATGGCACTCAGTTCAATGGTAAGATTTTCAGGGGTTTTTGTGAAGAATATAAGATAAAATTCTACAACTCCATGCCAGCATACCCCTAAGCCAATGGCCAGACTGAAGCGTCCAACAAAGTAGTTTTAGATGGCCTAAAAAAGAGGCTGGAAATAGCAAAAGACAAGTGGGCTAAGGAGCCTCCCCATGTTTCTATAGGCTTACCGTACCACACCTCGACGGTCAACTGGCGAAACGCCTTTTTCTTTGGCCAATGGCATGGAGGCAGTAATCCCCCTAGAAGTAGGCCTCCCCACTATTATGAGTGAAAATTCTGATCCAAACTTGAATGGGGAGACCATTGCCGTAGAATTCGACCTCGCAGAAGAAAGAAGAGAAAGGGCATTGGTGCACATTGCATCATATCAGCAAGAGTTATCCAGGAAACACAACAAAATAGTGCACATAATACAATTCAAGATTGGAGATTGGATATTGCGCAAAGTAATGGGCAACACTTTGGTACCTGGAGATGGCAAGTTAGGACCTACCTGGGAAGGACCATACAAAGTGATTGGTTTAGTAGGAAAATGGGCATATCACTTAGAAGATATGGACAACAAAACTATTTCCAGGCCATGAAACATGGCTAATCTCAAACTATTTTATTTTTAACTTTTTCTTAAAAGCACTTGTAACTTTTCTTTTTCAATGAAACAAGTAGACTTTTTTCTAGCAAAATTCCTTCCTCTATTTGAAAAAATGGTTAGTACTTATTGTCGACTGGGGGCAACTAAGAAAGTTTATAGGTTTGAGCAACACTTTTTTTTTTAGCCGAGATAAGTATCTAGGCTGAAGAAGGTTGGCAGGTTTGACCAACATTTTTCTTTCTTTAGCCGAGATAAGGTTCTAGGCTGAAGAAGGTTGGCAAGTTTGACCAACTTTTTTTTTTTCTTCAAGCCGAGATAAGGATCTAGGCTGAAAACAGTTAGCAGGTTTGACCAACATTTTTCTTTCTTTAGACGAAATAAGGATCTAGACTGAAGAAGGTTGGCAGCTTTGACCAACACTTTTCTTTCTTCAGCTAAGATAAGGATCTAGGCTGAAGAAGGTTGGTAGGTTTGACCAATATTTTTCTTCCTTCGGCCGAGATAAGGATCTAGGCTGAAGAAGGTTTGCAGGTTTGACCAACACTTATCTAGATTCTGAAGTTGTCATCCAGCTGAGATACTTATCTTGGCCAAAAAAGGTGGGCAGGATAGGGGAAGACCGAACTAAATTAGGCCAGCTAGGCTTGTAAAAAAGATAGTACACTAAAGGAAAGAAGTACGGTGACCGAACAAAAAGATATCAAAAAGCAAATAAAAGATTCATTCATTAGAAATTCAGTACAAGAGGAGGGGCTTGTAACCCGGTTACATTTTCATTGAAAGAAAAAAAACAGAAGAAAATAAAGCAAAAAGGTCGTCCAAATCGGCATCCAGATCAACCCGGGGTTCACCACTTGGTAGGTTGGTTTCAGCGGATACTTCCTGGGCTAGGTCAGCCATAGGCACCTCTTCAACTGTACTTGGCATCGGTTGGCTGAGCGGATCCACCTGAGTTGGCAGAGAAGGCTGGACACCAAGATCAGTGTTTGTAGGTGGGGCATTATTGGGTTCAGGGGATTCTTCCTCCTCTTCCTCTTGGAGAAGCTTCTGTTGGATTGCGTTGGCGTAGTCCGCCATGTAGCTTGGTATGAAGTGAGGGGGAGGATTCAGAAAGATCTCGGTGTCTTGCCCTTGATCGAGCTTGACAGTCGCAGCCTTCTACCCACATTTGAAGAAAATGTCTTTAGCAGTTTCACACTGCAAGACGTAGGTTGCCTCTCCTTCTTTGAAGCCTCAGTCCTCAGCATCTTCTATCTTCTTCTTCAGCTCGATGACCTCGGCAGTCTTCTTCTTTTCCAACTTGGCCAATTCACGCAAGTAGTGATATTTTTTCTCGGCCAATGCTTTTTGCTTATCAGCCTTCGCTGAGTTGACTAGCTCGGTCAAATGTATGTTTTCAAATTCCAACTCGGTCAACTTTAGTAGGGCCTTCTTCAGTTCGGCTGCCCTGGCGTTTGCATTAGCCACAGCCAACTGAGTGGTCTTGCGGAGTTCAAGCACACGCTTGTGGGCCATGTGGTTTTTCTGCAAAGCTTGTAAAGGGGAGAGGTACTGGTTAAGATAAACTGAGCAGACATATGGATAATTTGGATACAAATAGTTTGGAGGAAAAACTTACAAGCACCATGGACTTGGTCGCTGAGCGAATAGCTTTAAGCTCAGTTAGGTGATCATGATGCTCCATGTCTGCTGGCAAACAAACACTCTTGGAAAGATTAAACATGAGCAGATGGTCTTTCTCAACCACCACTGAATCCTTAGTGGATACAGCTCGATTTTTATAGGACATCGAGGGTGCCTAGGCATAAGGGCTTGTTCGGCCTGAACGGGCAGGCTCAGGGCTCGGTGACACACGGCCTAAAAGTGCGGTCACTTCCTTATCCACCAAATGTTGCGGTTCGGTCGACAAGGTGCGTGCACGCTTACTTGGCCAGGACGTTGTTGCCCTGGTGGTTAGAAGTGCGACCACTGTTTCGCGTAGGTGACCGAATGGTGCATGTTCGGTTTGGTGACCAGCGAAGGTTTGCTTGGTGATAAGAGCTCGCAGACCTTTCTTTTTTCCATTTCTTGTTTCTCAGTCAGGGAAATTAAATTAATTTGGGGAAGAGTGGGGTCTGGCTTGGGTGAAGGTTCTAGGAGGAAGTCGATTACTCTGGTTTTCCTCTTACCGCTATAACAGTAGGTCGGCTGTTTGTCGAGCAGCTCGGTTCAATCATGATGCTGGTATCGTAGCGCGGCTCGGAGTGCGTCTTGATTCGCGTAAGCGTAGGTTGATTTCAGATGGTTCAAATCTGCATAACGAACAAAGGGTTAGTACGCCAGTTATTTTGATAAACAAATAAAGATGAAACTGAGTTGTCCTTACTAGCTGTCCCCTTGTTCCAGTTGATGTTATAGCCCGGTATCTAGACTTCATGATCTTCAAAGTTCCTAGACACCTAGAGAAAACCATCATCGTTCAGGTCCTTATCAGGTGTGTTCTTGATGATTTTCTCATGGCCCTTTCTTACTCTAAGGTAATATACCCAACCACCATCATTCTGACCGAGTGAATATTGATGAAAAAGCTCGGCCAGTCTAAGGTTGAGGCCAATACGGTGATTTAGTTCGGCTATGCCATTTATTATTCTGTAAGTATTGGATGATAGTTGTGTGGGGCATAGTTTAGTTTGCCTAAAGAATTCGCAGATCAAGGGTTGGATTGGGAACCGGAGTCTCCCCTCTACAATAGACACCACGGTGAATGGAACAAATCCTGACTTGCCCCATGGCGTGGTGTCTAGCTCGGCTAGGGAGAGATGGACGTCATCTGGGATATTCTTTTCAAAATTCTGCCATGGCCCCAAGTGAGTCCACTAGGAATCGGTATTTACCCATTATACTTAAAAATTGTTATATTAAAAATGAACACGGCTGCCTAGCCTTGCACTGAGGTGACTTTGAGTGGCTCGGTTGACCAAAGTTGCCCTGGGGCAAAGTGCAAGGGTGTGCCTGGCCAATCTAGTCAAGTCTGCAAACTAGAAATAACAAGGGTTATGCCCAGTTAATGGACCGGGCTACGTAAAATAGACAAAGCAAAATAAGCCTTGCTCAGTTACAACTGGGTTACAGACCATTCCCAGTTCGGCCAAGAAACAGGACCGGCTAAGGTTTATAGCTCGGTTATTATCACATAGCTCGGTTTTTTATCAAATACATTTTTAGTTCGGTCGCGTCCAGGCTTGAAAGTCGTAAATAGTTGCCTAGTTCGGCCATAGCACGATTTGGGATCAACAAAAAACAATCCTAGACTAATTCTTAGTCCCAATCATTGTGTTTTGGGGTTTACTCATGGTGTTTCAAGGTTCTTTATATTGGTTTGGACCTTAGTGTTCATAAATACATATTTGGTAATTGAGACACTATCTTTAGAAATAAGCAGAAATAGTTACAAGGATGAAGAACTTACCAGTTTGGGAATGAAGTCCGAATCCAGTCTAATGAAATGAATGCAAGCAGTGTTTAGGAAAGAAAGAGATGCGTAGTGTAGACACCCCATTTTTGACCGACCTTAAGACTCAGACGTCACCAATTGAGCGCTTGGTGATGTTGCATATCGCGCTCGTTCAGAAGTCTCAGAGTCGCGGCCGTGAGCCCTGCTTCCGGATTTCCGAACCCTCTTCTGTACCTTACCTCGGTTTGCGAACCAAACTCGGTTTTCTCTGTTTCTTTTCTTGAGGGGAGGGAGAGGTCCCGTAGACCATCTCTCAGTGGCCGTGGGCTACATTTTGTGGCTGTAGGCCATTTTTCCCATTTCGGAGCCCGGTTCCCGGTTTTCGGAACCGTTAGGCCGTGTGCCTCGGTTCGGGACCGCTTAACCATCTCCATTTGCTCTGATTTTTGGCATGCATCTTATTTACTCCCTTTTGAGGGACACTGAGGTCTAAGAGACCCACTTCGTGGTCGAACACCACTCCCGGTGCCTAACAGCCAGTTTTCGGGGCCTCGGGCTGCGCGTTTTGGCCCCCGAGCCTTCATTTTGCATCGGTTTGGGCTCATTTTTTGTGGAGACCTTATTTTCATTGTTAGAAAGCTTGTAGGAGGGTGGGAGGCCAGCAATTTTGCTGAAAAGCCAACTTCTTTTTGGTCAAAAGTGGTTCAGCATGAATCCGGGAAGGAGAAAAATTTGCGCGGCTTCACCGAACGGGCGTAACTCTTTGCACAAGGGGAATTAAGATATGAGGCTACCACCATTG